TTGTGGCTCATAATGGAAGGAAGAACACTAGACACATTTATTATTTAGTGCAGATTCTCCGAACACAATTTTAAATTTTAGGCTGTTTAAAAAATTAATGTATCGAGTTGGTACTTCCCAAATCCCAGTACATTTAAAAATGATTTAAAAATATGTTTTTTTTTAATTCTGAGTGGAAAGATGAATGTATTGATTTTACAATGATGTGTGTTTTTTTAATTTTTTTTAATTTTTGTGTCTGTCATCACCTTTTAGGACAGTTAAATTGCTTGGATTTTCTTCAACAGTATATTTTATGATAGGAAAGTGAATCTAGTTGGTACTTTGGGGGGGGGGGGGCAAAAGTAAAAATTTCCTATTAGTATTCAAAAGTGCCGTGAAAAACAAAAGAAAATAAAGTTCAAAAATTAACATAATATGGAAAAATCACTAAAATTAGCAAATTATTTTGAGTTAAGAATTTGTAAAAATTTTTCTTTTTAAATCTAAGATTTTTAAATGTGATACATGATTCCTTATAAGAATACCTACTTTTATCAAAAACAAAATGTCTATAAGATAGTTAAATTAAATTTGTATGAGCGTTTGAAATTCAAATTTTTACAACATTGGATATTCACTCGATTTCTCATGTAACGATTTCCTTATTTTGTTGTAAATGTAAAAAGAATAACTGTAGATACATGAAAATTACACTGAATGATTATATTAGAATTTCCTATACACCATACAATTTTGAAAATATTTTGACTCTTTTTGAGCTGTTTTCAGTTTTCAATTTTTTTAGTTTTTTTTTTCTATAAATATCAATTAAGTTTTATCTGTTGTGCCAAAAAGTGTAAAAGTTTAATACAAAGCCCCTGATATATTGTTACAATATCAGTTGAAAAATATTAAAAATACATACTCACAACTTTTTTTTATAAGTATTTGAAGATCGAATTTTGACAAAATTTATCAAAATCTTGAAAATTATCAATCATTGTAATTAATAAATTATAAAATGTGCAGTTTTTATAGCTAAGGATTGCAAATTGAAAAAAAAGGTTCTCATAAATAGTTAATTCTGTTACCAAAAAATCTAAAAAATACATAAGCAAATTTTATTTTTATAGTCTTTTTAAATTCAAATTTCAACGAAATTACATAATAAAAAACCTAGAATAACTATTTCAGTTATTTTGTTGTGATTGTATAATATTATTCGTGGGTACTTGAAACTTCTAAAGTGTACTATTATACATCTATGATAGTATTATGGTTTTTTGTTGATGTTGTACGACCCGTTATAAGTACCTAATGGATATTGCGATATGATTAATTTGGAATTTATTATAGGTACCTATTATAGGTCAATTTTTTTAATGCCATAGATAAATATATAATATGTCTTATACCTAGACTGACATACCTTCTCCGCTCAGAATCGTTTTACTTATACAATGATATATCATTGAATTCAAATTTAATACCATCCATTATACAGTGACCCACTTGTAACCTACTGTACAGCAGAGCACCTTTTTTTTTTTACTGTAATGTAGTATTTATTTAATAAAATTGATATTGTTTTCGTTATAAATTATAAATTGTAATTTAATAATAAAAAACCACCGAGACTTTAATTTTTCACAAAATATTTATACCTATTAACATTTTCTAGAAATTATGATAAAAATGTCAAAATATATTCTCTCTATCTGTGCAGTTTATGGGAATTAAAATTTTTCAGTTGATCATGTAATATCATATGTACACATTTTTAGACTCGGTCAAAAATATTTTAAAATGTAACAAAGAATTAAGATCCTACATAGGTTAATCTTAAAGTAATTTTTAAAACAATTAAAATGTATATTCAAAACTTTTTCTTATGAATATTCAAAATTGTAAAATGTTGACGAAAATCGTAAAACCGTATGCTATTTTAAATTGTAATAACATAGACTTTAAAATGTAATGGGTACAAGGATTCTCGTAAGATTTTATTACAGGGACATACACCTAAACAACACAAACACAATGAAAATGTATTCACCATTTTTTCTTACGGATATATTAAGTTTTTATTGGACAACAAAGTTGAATGTTAAATCAAAAATAACGAGTTCAGTTATTTTGTTGTGATTCATAAAATATAAGTCGTATTGACTTGAGATTTTGCGTTACTATACCTGTAATAATTATTATTATCATCTGTATACATTATACACAATAGAATTTTCAAACTACTAGGATTAAAGTGAACATCTACATATTATATAAATGTATATCCCTGTATAGCGTGTGTGTGTGTGTGTGTGTGTGTGTGAGTGTCTATATTATTGTTTAGGCATGGAAAATTCAAGTAAAGCCTTGTTAAAATAGTCAAGTGACATATAAATACAGGTAGTATATTGTTCACGATCGTATTTTTCATAGTATATAGAATTTTATAGTTATACAAATATTCTATACATTGATCACGTATACTAGGCGTGCATCGTTATTTCATTACTACGGCTGACAATGGAATATTTGGGGAAAGTACGAATTTGGTGGGTCGAATGACAAAAGAGCCCAGAGTATAGTATTATCTTTGGATAACGGTGCATGTATATCACTCATTCACTCCAATATAATATAATTTGAAAGAGTGTTTTCGATCGAGATACATGCGTACCTACTGCATATATTTTTTTTATAATATATTAATTTTAATAATTCGACCTACATAGTATTTATACAATATATTTCATTGCACATACGTGATGTGTAGCAATATTATTTTATATTTAAGTTTATCGAAAAAATTATAAAAACAATTGGTATTTTGTTAAATATTATTGTGAATTAACAATTACATAAAAATTATAATTTTAGTATATGTAAATTACACACATCTTGTAATTTTCCAATATAATTATTTCCAATTCTGAACTTTGTTTTATAAATTTTATTGTAGTCTAACTTTTGTTCTAGTCAACATCTATAGTATCTACCGACCTGTAGATTATGTGGATCGTGCATATTATGCTCTTTGAATCGTCTATATATCAGGTATATATATTTATCAAAGAATATTATTGTTTTTGAAATATTAGAAATTATTAGATCACAATAAAGTATTACAAAGGCAAATGGAAAAATATAAAAACTTTTAAATAGTAAAACCATAATTACAATATGACGTATGTTTATCATATAGTAATAGTAATAATTACTTATTATAAAAACAAACTTTGTTTTAACTATTCAGTTATCACACAGAAAGTTTATTCAATGTATAACGTCGGATTATCAAGATTTACTGCACCAGTTTTCAAATACTTTTCGGGAAAGGCAAAATGATTCATTAAACGGTTTGGTCTAATCTGGACATGCATTCCTCCGATGAATTCTACCACGCATACTTGCGCATACCTTACAAAAAATATCTAATAACTATTTTCTGCTGTACATTTCTGGGTTTATTAATTTATCTATAATACTACTCACTTAGTAACATTGTATTACGCGTTTATACGTGTCAATCGGTTAATAGTGTTAATACAATTGAAAAATTAATGTGGCCGGTTATACCTACATTGTATTTTGTTTATATTTTGTACTCGCAGAGTATCGTGTTTGAAACTACATTACTGTAACTACAAAACTTGTTAACTTATAAATCTCACCTAAATTTACATTGTTTTAAATTCAAATCCAGTAAAACTAAATAGGGCTTATTTTGTACCTAATTTGTTGTGAAAAATATCAAAATTAGTAGGTAAAACAAAAATACACTTTTGTACTCTAGATACATTCCCTTGGTACGATATACTTTCATAGGTACTGAACGAAAGTGGAAAAAACGAGAGATAATAAAAATATTAGATAGGTACCTATAATTATACTATTACCTATACATAGTTTAACAATTATTATTATGATTTCAATCAATTATTACAATTAATAACCGCAATTACGACAGACAATAATTCATTATTGTTAAACTTTCATTATGTTACTATAAAAAATACTCGCAATACCTCACTCTTAGCCAACTAAATATTAAACCTAATTGCTTGGATATATCATGGACCATTGTGGGTACGCTGTATCATAATATGTCGAAAAAAATATATTCCAATGACAGTAAGTTATTATATCGATACGTATATTTGTATTAATATTGTATTCAAACGTAACGTATAAAAATAAAAATACGAACAACTTTAAGTCACATCAACTGTGTTCAAATAAAACGCCTTAAACCATTGGTCAATAAGTAACGAAATTTTCCATCCAATGGTTGGCATTTTATATTTCTATTAAAAAATAATTTTCATTATTATTACTATAAACAGATAACAATATTATTTCGTCCTGGTTCTAAGTAACCGTTTACATAATAATAATATTATTGTGTTTGAAGGCAGGTAAAATGCGCCGACAACGACTCGCGATAAGTGTTTCCGAGAAACCATAAACCAGCAGGAGTTTATCGTTCGCGGAACCGCGGGTGGAAAAAAAAATAGGGGAGGGGAAACCTAGAGAGGGCACGGAAACAGCGTTATGCGCGACTACGTATTACAGCGTCTTTGATTTGTCGCCGTTGTCATTATGATGTCTTACGATTCACCGGCGGCCAGTTTCGACATCACGTCGCCGGTTAATCGTACGACATCACAACGAAAAAGGCAATCCACACGTTTTGTTTGAATAATGGCGGGGAAAATCGAGCGCATGACTGTTCGTGGATTCCGGTGCACCTTATCAGTAGTGGCTTACAGCAAACGATTTAAAAAGAAACCGTCGAATACCTAACAATGATTCGATGTCATGGAACAATAATTTACCAGAACCGTTAATACCTATATTTTGTCCGTTAGCACTTGGTATCAATTTTTTTATCTCTTAAAATGACTAACTATTGTATAAGTTTGGTGTACACAACACGCCGTATAGGGACAAGACAAGACACGCGCCAACGTCAATAATTGTATTATATTACATAATAATATTATAAGATTCATACGATGTCATACCAGAGGGTCGTTACTCACGTGTGTCACGAGACGGTTGCACTGGCCGATAAGCCACCCGTAGACGAAGGCTGGCTACCGCGGCGGCCACTCTTCCGGCGCAAAGACGGCCGAAGATCGTTTCTCACGTCACTATCGGACGTGTCGTGTCCCGTACGACAGAAAACCGGGTCGTGGTGGTTTTTTTTTTTTGCGAGGACGGGAAGGGGGACCGAAGAAAGTGCAGAGCGACGGCGCTCGCGAATTGATCACGCGAAAGTTTTACGCTCGGTGCACGAAGACGTGAAAAAGAGTTCGGCGGGGTGAAAAATCGAAAGTAAAGTGAACGAAAATCGACAAGACGAACCGAAACGATTCACGTTCGTGAGAGACAATCAGACGGAGTCTCCCGGGATCGGACAGGACGTCGTGCGAGTATACGGTGATCACGCTGAAGACGCGGACAGACGGACGGACGACCGAACGAACGGACAACGCGGAAGCGGACAGACGACTACTACGGACTGCTGGCGTGACGGGCGGCGGACGTGACGCGGCGCGCGCGGTCGTCGTCGCGTTCGTACTCACCCCCTCCGCCACCGGCCACCCTGCGCGCGTTGTCCGCACGACGGCGGCCGATGGTTGGGCGACGCCGGCCGACCGCGCGGCGGGTGCGCCGGGGGTGTACACGCGCGCGGACTTTCCACTATGAAAACAGCGGCGGCGGCGTGCGTATAATATACCGTCGTTAGAGCGACGGCGCGGGCGGCGACCCTTACGACGGGCTTTACTACGGCGGTTTACGTACGATCACCGCCGGCCCGCTTCACCCGCCCGCGCTCAAGCACGCGTGCACGCAACGTCCACCACCGCCGCAAGCTCACCCTCAACCCTTCCACTCACCCCCGTCGGCGGTTTCTAGCGAGCTTTTACACACACTCACACCACCGACGCTATGCGGCGCGGTCGAGGACAACGCGACGTCGTCGCTACAGCCACCAAACCCTATAATATATAATAAAATAATATGATTTTAGGCGTGCGATGGGTTGTTCGCGGTACTCACACGCGCACACTAACCGAAGTGGCATATCGAAGTCGCATGGATGTAAATAGTTGTAGTTAGGGAGCAATTACAGTTGAGCTACAGTCTTAGTTGTTGGTGTTTTTAGTGTCGTATTAATACGCCACACAGAGAGCGTCTAAAATATGCCAAGTAATTAGAGCTCAGGTGACATATTACCTAATATTTGAAAAAAAACTATATATTTATTTTATATTCAGGTCCGAGGGTCTAAATAACTGTGTTTGTAATAACATATCGTGCGTGATGAGTAGTTTCTGAATCAGGACAATAATTTTTTTCTCGTAATTTTTGGCGGAAACCAAATGCTACATATTTTTTGGTTTAAAACGATTGACTTGTCTTTGTCGTCGTTTTGTTGATTTTATATGTTATATTATACTTAAATTCTGAGCACAAATTCATCAAACAATATTATAGTATTACCTATACAATTAACATCAATACTATGATTTATGGCTATTTTAGGAATTTGGAGTTTTAAAACGAGTTTTCCACATCTTTAATCACTGTAGGTTCATATTCGTCTACAGATCTCCGTGGCAGAGGAGGCTATTACATTGTAAGAAATTGTGGGATGGCTTATAATTAGACCCTGAAATTCACTAAATCCCCTAAATTGATTCATACAATTATTTTAAATTATATTGTTAAGTATATTGTCTCATATTATAGTTTCCTTGCAACTATTGTCTTTAAATAAAGGCTTCTCAAGAATAATACATGTTAAAATAATTACATTTGAAATTTTTTATATGATTAATATATTCTAATATTATATAAGAAATTATGTATGATTTATCAAAACCTGAAAAATGCACAATGAAGTAGGTACTTATCCTTAATTTTATTAAATTATATTAAAACTCGAATATAATAAAAAAAAAAATACTGCACGACTACAGAAAATCCACAGGGGCATCAGCTGTTTCCACCGAGCACATGTCATATATTATTATAGCTGCGCAGTGCTTCGAATCAAAGCAAGTATTATTGTGAATACAACTTTAATAGTTACGTTGTGTAAATATACATTTTGTTATTACGTGCGGCATGGCTCCTATTCTACTTTCCACCCTCCGTTAGCATTCGTAACCGTATCGACCCCCATCATACAAAGATTGTGTGTACAGTACGGGACTGATGGAACGAAAAATGGGATTAATTTTGTTTTGTTTAGTATTTGTGTAGGGTCTAGAAAACCCTATAGCGAAGGTACTGGGCACTGCCGGGATAGGTATACCTACCCACTTGAAAAATATTATAATCGGTGCACCAAAAAATCAGTTCATCAAAAGTTGAAACGTTAATAATAACTGGTCATATTGATCTGTAACGATATTGAAAAATGAATCATTTACGTAATATAATAATATAAAATCGAATAATATATTTTATAAAGTCGTCATACACGGTGATGGTCACTATTCGACTGCAGTTGTTATATACCGACTATTACCATGCCGGTACTTATAATAATATGCTACTGGACAGTAATTTAACGACGAAAACAAGTAATTCGAAACGGAATCGACTCGAAAAGTCAGCGCTTTTCAGACCTTCACTACAACTACCCACTCGCAGTAAGGCAGTATAGACGTATACCACATAAATTGTTGAAATAATTAAAATCAAAAAGGAAATCGTTGCCTATATCACAGGCCTTGGGGCCATGCAGTGCACGACAAGGGTTACAAATTATTTTCGTATCAGCACATGTACCTATATTATTATTTTTTATTTTACACGCATCGTCGTGTTGGCGGCAGAAGCAGCTACGTACCATGTTCGCACACGGTCCGTCGGCCGACTGTTCGGCGCCGTTTCGTTATTGGTGCGCGCGCACACACTCGGCCGATCACATAATAATATTGTAACGGACGGGCAGCATGGGCTAGTGTTATGACATGAGTGCATCATTAATTTATCATCGAAAGTCCGTGAGTTCAAAGGTCGTTTGATCGAAAGTCACGAGGTCTATGATCGATAAAAAGGTACCATCATCATAACGAGATCGAAATGTCGTGTACAATATTAATGTGCTAGGTATATATAATTATCTAATAGTAGACAATGCTAAACGTTATCTACGTGTAGGTACTACCATAATATAGCAACAATAATTTGTTATAACATGACATGGTGTACCTATACTATGGTTGTAAACAAATAATAGGAACATTTATCGATGACTGCCTACATACATACATTGTATTTAGAACTAGCGTAGCTTACGTACATGAACGATGCAAGTACAACACTGCAGCTGCCATACGAGCTGGCTTTTGCAGTTGATAATTGATTTTTTTATTATGTACCTACACGTTTTAGTATTGATGTGAAAACATCTTATTTTTTAATGAAATGCGTCGAAACTGTTAGTGAATACGTACTAAGTATCAAAATCGTAAAAACAACAAAATAAAAAACAACAACACTTTTCGACTACAAATTACTATATATAGGTACTTTTATGATTATTGGTTGCATGAATTATTAATAATTTCAATCTCCCTTATTTTACTTTTAAAATTATTTCCCTCATTTATCAATTATAAATAATCGTCAGAACATAAAAATAACATAACAACGACAACGTTATGTGTGAGAGCCACCAAGCTTAGGAAAAATCATACAGTATAATATACATATTATATTATTATATCATATCATAGGTACCTATTAGTAGGTCCCCAAATGTCTTTTGCTAATTCGGTCTAATCTTTCGAAACAAAATAACCGCCAGTGGCTGTTTGAAAAATATATAATCGAAACGCGTTAGAGCAGTTATAACTGATATAAGTTATGGGTGTAATAAAAAAAAATTTCCACCAGAGCGTAATTTCGGGCATTCTAGAAAACTATACATTTTTAGGTGCGTAATTGTTCTCGTCTTCGTGGCAAATTCTAACGGTTTCAATATTTTAATCAAATATTTATAACAGAAAAACAATCGAATAATATAAAGTAGTTAGTTCCATATTTTAATTTAGATACTAATTGTAATCTGACAATTTGAGTAGAAAATAATATAATCGAGAAATTATTAACAATGTATAGTTATTTATTCCCTATTCAGTGATTAATATGTAATAACATACGAAGTGGAAAAATGCTGTGTTGTCCTTTTTTATCAAATGGCTAAATAAAACCCGACAAATTTATGTAATATAAATCTAGTTTTAGTTAGTAACCTAACGCTGACTTTTAGCTGCTTTTTTGTGAGTGGTGACACGATGGATCGATTTTCTTAGATTTTCACATTAAACACATCAGGTCATTTTTTAGTAAGTTGGTTCTGGCTGTCCATTTAGCGGTAGTCAAAGGAATAAAAAGCTTTTACTAAAAGCTATATTTGAAATCAAATGTAGGTAAACCATTAAAAAACTCATAGAAATCATTCAATTATTTCTGATACACCGTCATCTTTGAGTAAAGAATAAATACACTATAAATATAATATGATGAGCAAACGTATTTATTTTTGTAGAACCATAATATTTTTTGCTGACATGTCCTATTATATAAAGCCATAATAGTAATAGATACTAAGTACGTTTAATTATATTAATGTTTGAAATTATAACATATCAATTCCTATCGTCTCTATTTATTTATATGCTATATTACCTATATGTATTTGTGTATGATTATTATTTTTTTTTAATACATTTTTAGTTTTACTTATACATTTTTGATTATGATTGATTTTTACCTGAATCATATCCTTACGATTGTATATTAAATGTATTGTTACCACATTGGTATTGTACCTTATTACTAATTTACTATCACTAACCTAACAAACCGATCGGCTACATAGTTGTCTTTCATAATAGTTCTCATCATGGAATAAATCCCATTCAAAATTTAAATTTTATTATACATGCTATTTTTATACCAATTATGATTATGAAATAATTTATTAACTTATTAATTTATTCCAATATATATAATATTATTTATTATTTATTAATTTATATAAATGGATATAATTTATTATGATTATGAAATAATTATAATTTTCAACAGGAACCATATCAGTAGCGGATTCAGAAGTCACTCAAGGGGGGGGGTGGCTAATTAAAAAAATTAAATTTGTCTTTTTGTTTAGGCAAATATTATAATAGAAAATAACGTAAAAAAGACAGTCCAAGGGGGGGGAAACGCTCCTTTGCTCCTCCCCCTCGTATCCGCCACTGAACCATATATTATCATTATACTTTATTGACGTGGTTCTTTC